CTCGCCTCGCCCCCTGCCCGCCCGGCGCCGGCGCGGTTCCCGGAGAGGCGAAAAGTGGCGCGCAATGGCGGCCCTTCCCCGCTCCACAGGTCTCGCTGATGGGGCTCCCTTCTCCGCTGCGAGAGCGGTTCAGAGGTTGGAGTGTACCAAGTAGCGACGGCGGGGGAAGGCCTGTGGGTGGGGGCGTTCGAAGGTTACATCCTCGGCGAGAGAAGTGACGTGAACCCCGCTAGTCTCCTCACTCCAGTCTTAGGAGCTGGAAAATAACGGGGATCTCCACGTGCCGAAAAATTGGCTTCCTGCGGGGCTCCAGTGGAGAACTAGCTCCACCTTCCCGGAGCCCGTGACTCCGCCCCTCCGCCCGGAGCCCCTCCCTCCGCCCTCGCTCATTGGTGGGCCTGGAGGAGTCGGGGAAGGGGGCGGGAGCAAGCTAGTCTCGTTCACTCTCTTTCTTGGAAAGCACGCGCCGCCGCAGTAGCGCGGGCTGAGCGGCAGGGAAGGAAGCAGCTGTCTCTGGCGCGAGCTTCTGTGGCGTCCGGGCCCAGCGGGCAGCAGGTTGGTGCTTAGACCCGGCGGCGGCGGCGGCGGCTCCCTCCACGTGGGTTCTCTGGCGACATGGAGCTGGAGGAGTCGGGGATCCGAGAGGAGTGCGGCGTGTTCGGGTGCATCAGCTCGGGAGAGTGGCCCACGCAGTTAGATGTGCCGCATGTGATCGCTCTGGGACTCGTGGGGCTGCAGCACCGGTGAGCTCCCTGGGGAAGGGTGAGGGTGGTGTAGCGCGTGCTTCTTTCTCCACCAGTCCAGGCTGCTCTCTGCGGCCCGAGCAGGCGATCCTGTGTGCGCCTGAGGACCGGAATGCCGGACCTCCCTGACCTGAACCAGTACCTGCCTGTGGCATGCACGAGGTTACCGAGGCGTTCGCGGGGGCTACCTTGCCTCCCGGGACTGTAGCCTGTCTCCCCACCCCCACCCCTTAATGATCTTTAGGATCTCTCGCCTCCCTCCGGTGCGTGCCCGTTTTAATTTCTCAGAGCCCGGAGCTGCGCTTGTGATAGGCTCGTGTGGGGTGGCTGCTAGTCCAGGACCTGCAGACACCACCGCAAGCTTTTGTTTGCAAGGGCAGACTTTCGAGCCAGTTGTTGATTTGAATGTGTCATAGCAATGGGAACTTAGGGATCCTAGAGTTCAAACCCGGGGAAACAGGACTTTGTTGGTGTTCAAAAGGAATGTAGATTTCATATACATTAACTGCAAATAAACCAATTACAGGGACTAGTCCATCTACAAAAGATTCATTAGATTACGTTTTAGATAAGGAATGAGAAAATCAGTAGTAAGAAGATGCCAAACAGCAACTGCCTTCTCTAACAAAGGGGAGTGGAGTAGTTTCCTGTGTGACAAGATACACATTGATTTTGGAAAAATTGGTAGATCCCTTTGAGCTTAGTAATTTTGCTTTCTATCTCTCTGACCTGTTAGTTGATATAAACAATTCCGTTGGGTTAAGAAATATAAACCCAGGTTTGACATTATCACTGAAAGTATTCCAAAGTTTTCATAAGGTAATGCCACAGCAACAACTTGTAGAACAGTTAAGGATCTTGGCAATAACACTTAGCAATATGAGTGCAACGTATATAAAGGCATTTCAAATGATCAGCTTTCCCTCAACAAGCTTAAATTAGAAGTACTTTTCCCTCTTCTCAGGGTCCCACATATTTCACTTTGAGTTTCACATCTTGCATTCCTTGTTTACGAAGAGTCACTTAGAATCTGGGATGAATTGAAAAGAATATTTTACCTTGAATGACACTAATCTGCTAATTGTGGATTGACTAAGAAAGATCTTGTTTTAAAATACATTTATGGAGAGGATTAGATATATAATCCAAGGAAAAAGTAAAAATCTATATGGTAGTCCAGAGCCTCATTAGTTTATAACATTCTTAGGAGAGTTATATTGGGTATTCTGTCATGGGAAGAGGTGTGTAAAATCTAGGGATCTATAGAGTTGCTTGACCATTTTAATATGAACTGACCTTGAATTTTTAAAAAATACTTACATTTTAGTGAAAATAAATCAAAAAGTTCATCCCCATTATCTCTTCATTAAATATATATCCCTGAAGAGAAAGGGCTGAATTTTTTTATTACAGCTTGATTCCTAGTTACATGTACTTTCCCACAGGCCCTTTTATGTGAAAGAATGATGAGGTAATACAAGATAATGACAATAAAAATGTGATTGTTTGATTACATAAGGTTTTTCTTATGTACACATAAAATCATTAGGGTGCCCTGGGAGGGTTGGTTCTCACCCATAATTCTAGTCAAGTAAAAATTTTATTTTTAAAAAATATTTTTTTATTGATTTTAGAGAGGAAGGAAGAGGGACAGAATCAATGATGAGAATCGTTCATCTGCTGCCCCCTGCACTAGGCCCCCTACTGGGGATCTAGCCTCAACCTGGACAAGTGTTCTTGACCAGAATGGAACCTGAGACCCTTCAGTCCCCAGGCTGATGCTCTATCCACTGAGCCGAACCAGCTAGGGCCAAGTCAGATTTTAAGTTAGTAAAGTACTCACCCATTAGGGCAGGGGTGGGGAATGTCCGGCCTGAGGGCAGATTAGACCCAAGAAATCATTTGGTGTGGCCCTGCCAAGGCATTAGCAGTGAGTTAATTAAATGTTTGACCAAATATAGAAGGCTAATTTTTGGTATGCATTTTATTTTATAAGAAATCATTTGGTGTGGCCCTGCCAAGGCATTAGCAGTGAGTTAATTAAATGTTTGACCAAATATAGAAGGCTAATTTTTGGTATGCATTTTATTTTATTTTTATTTTTTTTAATTTCTTTATTGGTTAAGGTATTACAAATGTGTCCTCATCCCCCCATTAACCCCCAACCTAGAGTGAATGTATTGCCATGCAGTTGATAAAAATGAGCCTGATTTTCACAGAAATTGACATTTAAAATATACAGCTATTAGAATTCTGTTGTGATAATTATAGATTCACATACAGTTGCAAGAAATACTACAGAGAGGTACCATATACCCTTTAACCAGTTTCACCCAATGGTAGCATCTTGCAAAACTATAATACACTATCACAACCAGGATGTTGTCATTGATACAGACGAGATATACTAGTAGAACAATTCCATCACCACAAGGATTCGCCATGTTGCCATTTTAT